CGTCGAAAGGCGAAGAAGCATTCAGATCGTGTTCTCATCCTGAAGCCAAACATCCGTCTTATCGCTGAATCCTACTACAAGAAGGATCCCGATCGAATCTCGAATCTTCGGTTATTTTTTGCCATATACATAGAATATTTGTTAAGTTATGAATAGCGGGCGGGGGGAAGGTGAGATGCACCATGATCAGCGTCAAGAAATCGTTGAAGTTTTCGGTTTTCGTATGAATATTCAATTTTAACCTGCACTAAAATGGATTTGATGTTTATCCAAGAGTGATGTTTGTAATTGCTTGATTGAATTGAATTGAATCAGTGTTTTTCGCATTCAAGATTATACTCATCAATCGTAGCACTGTGCAATTGTTTAGGCTGGATATGCTGTCTCAGATATTGCTGTTGAGTGGACTGCGAAGTGGATCAAGGTGTTTGGTGTTCGAGCAGTGTTTAGGTTTGCTGACAGCGGCCATTATCGAGCGTTTAGGTGGTGAGGGAGCATGTGTACACATACACCGAGGACTCATAGCGCAAGCCATTCCCTGTGTGCAGAGTATGGATTTCGACGAACAGGTTTCTGCACTGATTCTTTTCTTTGTATATCCCATTCATATATCCAGCATTCTGGGAAACATTTTAAGTTGAAACTTTTCTGCAGACATATTCGACATTTTTACCGCTGCGAGTCGCAACCTTACTGAACGGTAAGGTGGACGAGGATGAAGAGAACGCCGAATCTAGCAGCAGTAATATGCTGGTCAGTTCTATTTGCATGATTGCATTCGTTCTCGTGTTTTGATTTGCTTAATTGTTTAGGTGTTGTGTTCATTTCCTGATATTTGTATTTTATAATCAATAAAATGTGTTTTGTTGATTCGATTGTTGATGTGTTGAATGTTTATGATGCATTAGTTCAGATGCATTACTTGATCAGTTTAGAAATCGATAAGGCATTACTTTCAGTCGGAGGCGTCGTTAGCACGTCGAATGGATCGTTTGAGACGAGAGAAGATCGCGTGGCAGTTGATCAGTGATCAGCAAATTGATTGTTTATTTATTGCGGTGAAAGGTGTGGATCCGACTGATGTCCTGGCGCGTACATGGCACAGTTTACGACTCGCCTCAACCATAGTGCTGTATTCACCAATTTCTGAGGTTAGCTGACTTTAGCTTTAGTCGTTTTTGTTGCATTTATTTTTTATGCAATGTGTTTCATATTTTTGTGATCTCTATTGTTCACGCGAACTTCCATTGGAGTTTTCAATTCTCATTTAGTTTAGTCTAAGATTTTTTGTACTGATTTATTTGGAATTGTATTGGATGGAATTTAAAGATTAAGAGAAATAAAATCGTAATGATAGTATTTATGAATCGATGACTGTCATCTTTTTAATTGATGATAATGAACAGAGGATCNGATTGTGTGAATTGAAAGTTTTTCAGCCACTGATCTGTGCGTATAATTGGTTGAAAGAGAACGGTGCAGTTCATGTGCAAGTGTGTGATTCCTTTCAACGTTCCTATCAGGTTCTGCCGGAGAGTACGCATCCGGTTATGCAACAGCTTGTGGCGGCCGGTTTCATTTTGTCGGCCATTAAAGTTCAACCTCCACAATCTTTGTGATTATACTGAGAACATTACCTAGATTTGTTGTTGTTGTTGTTGTTATTGCATATTCTTTTGTACTACACCAATTTTCCAAATGTGGTATCAAAAGACAGAGTTCAAATTTCATATAGAAAACAGATGAATTTTTGAATAGTTCTTACGTGAATGTTGATTATGGGAATTTACAAAGAGAATTAAATGAAGTAGAAAAAGAAAATTTGATGATAGACGAGCAAAGGTGTTA